CTTTTCTGCAATTAGTTTAATGCCCCTGACATCCTTATCTATCCTTAGATAAAACTCGTGGTTTACGTAGAATAGTGATATTCCTATTACTGCTACTTTGTTATTGAATACAAATTACGCTATAAGTAGTAACTATATTTAGTTGTTCTACTAAAAATTAATATAGCACCGTAAATACTGTTCCAGCGTTTGATTTATTCTTTCTATTTGCTCGTCGCTCTGTAGGTGAAAGGCTATTAACAATTTTTGATAAACTCCCGTGAGATCCATTAGCGATTACCAAAACTGTGATATAAATAGCTTATCCCAGTCCGAGCGTATTTCTTCCGATATCTCATGTCGGCTAAAGACGTCCTTATATAATGCGTACGCCAAGTCTTTCGCTGTTAATAACTCCTTGTATAGAATAAATTCCGCGTATTTGATTAGGATATTATTTACCACAAGTATACTATTAAATTCCACACCCGTGAGAGGTTCTCTAGATTTTGATAGCTTTATGATGAAATCCAATACAATAGTATACTATGCTTCTCCTGGTATTGCTGATTTCTGAAGTAACCTGTAAGGTTTATATCTTATATACTTCGCTTTATAGCATGTATCGCAGTTCTTGATATATTTTATTATGTCTTTCCTGACCCCTTTCTAGGTAAAGTCCCTCGTGACTAACTCGAGCGTTTTCTCGATACCTAAATGTCCTGCTAACTTATTATCGTGTCGTCCCTTGATAATTTTTTCTTTCTGCTCTTCTGTCAGCTCGATATCGATAAGAGTCAGCATCTCTACCTCAGGTGTTACGTAGGTTAAGGCGTTATCCTTTTCCTTGAGTACTGCCATGAGCTCTGGTTTGATGTTTTCCATGTAATCTGGCCGTCTGCTGAGCGCGTCTGCCACAGCATTTTCTTTTCCTTGAATATAATGTATCTTGAAGTTATATAGTGCCAATATTTCGGCCCACCGAACCTGTCTACAATTAAGTTCCTTCGTGGTTGTCCAGTATAATAGGTTCTTGTGGTCAGTGTAGATCTAAACTTAATACTTAGCGCCTTCAAGATATACTCTTCATTCCTTGAGACATACCACGATAGCGAGTAGTTCCTTATCGTGGATATCGTAATTCAACTCCGACCTTGTCATTCTCTTTGAGAAGTACATAATCATTCAGGTCTTATTATCTAGCCCTTTTTGCGTGAGGCGGGCTCCAATCGCTCCGTCCGATATATCTATCTCTATCTAGCATTTCAGCTTAAGGTCAAATATCATAAGTACTAGCGCCGTCGTGATAGCTTCTTTAAGGCGTTCGAATACCTTTCTGCATTCTGGTCCGAACTTAAACGAGACATTCTTCTTAGTAAGGTTCGTCAAAGGCGCTACGATCTTCGAAAATCCCTTAATGAATCTTCAATAGTAGTTAAGTAGTCCAACAAAAGACTATACTTCCATGACATTCTTGGGTTCTGGCCAGTCCTTAATTAGCGCTATTTTATCGGGATCCACTTCGATACCCTGATCGGATATAATGTGGCCTAGGAATTGAATCCGTTTTTTGTGGAACTCACACTTGCTAAGTTTCAATAGTAGATCCTTTTCCTAAAGTTTCCTCAGAATCTTTCGAATATATCGCATATATTCCTCGTATATCTTCGAGAATATAAGTACATTATCTAAGTATATGACTGCGAAGTTATCAAGATATTCTCATAGTATGTTGTTAATCAGTTCCTAGAAAGATGCTAAAGCGTTAGTCAATCTAAACAGCATAACCTAATACTCGTATAACCCAAAGCTAGTTTTGAAAGCCGTTATCTATTCATAGCCTTCCTTCATCCATACTCAATAGTAGGCGTCCTGTATATCGAGCGCGATAAAGTATTTTACACCAAGGAGTTTGTCCTGCAGCTCCTTGATCAAGGGTAGTGAGTATCGATTCTTCCTGATGATCGCATTGAGTGGTCAGAAATCAATGCATAGTCGAAGAGATCCATCCTTTTTTGGGGCGAACAGTACACCGTGTGCTATGGATAACTTGGATGGTCGAATAAAGCCTTTTTTCAAGTGAGTCTCCATGTACTCCTTGAGGAAGCTTTCTTCCTTTGAGGACAAGGATCGAAGCTAATCGTTATACTTCGACACTTTCCCTTCTTCGAGCGTTATTTCATGGTCCCATGGCTTATGCTTTGGTAGCGCGGCCATGCCTTCTCTTTCTTTGAAGATGTCTGCGAAGTCCTTGTATTCCTCAGGTAGGCTTTCCTCTCGTATTTCGTTTAAGGCCCTTCTCCTGGGTTGTACCCATATCGCCCTTTGTAGAGATACAACGAAAGTTAATCGTTTCTTCCTCTTTGTCTTCCCGTGACTGCAATTTAGGAAGGACAAGGTTCCTTCTTTCCAGTCTATTACTGGCGAGTGTTCTTTTAGCCACTTTATCTCTAGAATGATATTATACTTAATCGGCATTATATCAAGCTTGACCTGCTCTCTGTACTCTCTAATCTCTAGACAGACGTCGCGAATCTCCTGTCGTATCCATCCGCTATTGTACTCACCTGGCGTTCTGTCTGCCATAAAGACCGGGTATAGATTCTTTTTCCGTTGCTTGTTCAGTCTTGCTGCTGTTTTTGGTGACACGTAGTCTCGGCTTGCTCCACTATCAATCATCACTTGGACAGGCTCATCAGCTAGTCTGGCGCTGAAGACCAATGGCGTTGAACGCTGAGTCTGTACCATGTTGATATAGCGTTTCCGAGGCTTTTTTCTGTTGCGTGGGACCTTCCGCCTCATGATAGGTCCTCCGCCTAGTTTTTTGGCACGTCGTTTATGGTCGTATCCCTGCTTCCGAAAACATGTAGAAGTACCTCGATCGGTGGTTCGATCATATCCTCCGTTGTGAGATATACATATATCCTGGATGTATAGGTGCACGTTATGTCAGTACACCATTTTTTGGCTAACACGAGGACTTTATCCTTTTCGCTTGTTTTGGGGTCGAACTCTGGGTGGTAATGTGACGCTCCGTTTAGGCAGTTTGTTCGCTCACATTTTACTGGCTTCTAAAACGGGGTTGAGAACCAGAGGTGTGTCTTAGTTATCTTGGTAACGATAAACTTGAACGAGTCATCCTCATCGGATTCTTTAGGGGTACCGATTACTATAAGATCTTTCAACTCATATAGCAGGTAGTGTGTTTCGCTCCTAATCACATCGTGTGTATATTCTCCTTCGTGCGGATATTATTCGTCGTGATATAAGCATAAAATCATAAAAACCTAGTGGGCATTTAGGTTAGTGTAGAGGCTATACCTTCGGACCCCTTCTGCTGTCTGGACCCAATAATGTGTTCTTATGACTATAACGTCCCTTGTCCTTTCTCCTTCGATATAGTGTCCCGCCATGTCTTGGTCGATCTCTTCTGGGGTTAGATCGTCATGTTCTTTGAATGGGAAGAAGTAGGGTTCTCCGATATTAGTCTGATGTGTATGAGGAGCTAGGCCTAGGCACCTGAAGTATCGCTATATAGGTATCGGCCTCTTTTCCTCCTGCTCCTAAGCATAGTTCAGCTTAAGCTTGTTGTTAACCATACGCGTCCCGGGTACTTCTTCCTCGTAGTAGATCCAGTTCGGCGTCTCGATAACCGCGTGATAGTATCCGTGGAACAACATGGTGTCACACTCAGGCTCAGAGTCGCTCAAGTCCGGTTCTTCGCTAAATGTGAAATCGTAACGATCCTCCCCTAGTACATTGTGTGTGTGAGTGGGTCCTTTACACATTCCTTCACATTTTGTCACAAGTACTAGGCTTTCCTTGTCCCTCGAACTTTCTTTAGGATTGAATCTTTTATGTTCCGTGGCGCAACCTCTTCTGCATACTTGGGTGCATGGTATATTCTTCCAGTACTTCGTCGTGAGTATTGCCACATTGCTATGATTGGCAATTATTCTGTATTTTTCTTCGTGTCGTGTCTCTGTTGTTGGTGCAGCCGTTCTCTAGGTATCGGACTCCACCTAGATAAATATTTCGTCTTCTTCTTAGTCGCTAGGTTCATTGTTTTCCTTATCAGAGTTGTCGTCGAATGAAAAATGATGGATTATGGGTATTCCCCACATATCGTGTGTATATAGACGGGACCCCCCGATGCAGTTAGGTTCTTGACAGATATGTATAATGAGGACATACTTTATTGACTGTTTTCCCCGATATAGGCTCAAGAAGATTTTGTCCCCTCTTCTGGTCCAATAATGTGTTTATACTATCATTAGCGTTTCCGCTCTGCTTATGAGGTCGTAGGTGCTTGCGACTTCCCAGTTTATCTGGCTCGGGGTTCATTCTTGTAGTAGTTTGAACGGGAACTGGTATCGTTCTTCTCCTGCCAGGTAGATATAGGGTTCTTTAAAACTGCATTGCTAGAAGCACCTTTTCAGCCTTAGTGGTATCCAGTCTTGCTCGACATTAGTGTGTGGGCTAAACACGGCCTCGTTGGTGCTATATTCCTAATAATGGGTCCTGATCCGTGCAAACCCGTATTCGACGCTAATTATTTCGTATGGTGGTGATCTCGCTTCCATCATGGCCACTATTTTAGGCTCTTCCCAGTCGACTTCCTTTCTCTTGAATTTTTTGCTTCGACGATTCTTGCGCTTCTTTCCGTGAGGGAACCATTCTGTACCCTGCTTATTAGAGTAGTGAATGGGGCAGTTGTCGTTGTGGTAGGCTGTTCATAATAAGTTCGCGTGTTTTGGTCGCTCTTCATTGGTCTTTCATGCCGTGACTATTTTATTTTATCGACCTCGGCTAGGATAGGTTCCTGCGATGTCGGTAACCTCTTCACCATTGACCATTAACAGTGGTACTAAAGTCGCTCTCTCTGTCTAGATTCCTTCGGAATTCCCCTTCTGTGCTCTCTTGGCGCGGCTAGCCTGTTCTAAATTGTCTTTCTTGAGGCCATCTAGGTGTGCCTTTATTATTTATTGTCTTTTGAGTTCTAGGCTCCTCAATCCTTGGATCTATTCTTTGCTCTTAAGTCTTAGGCGCTTGAGTTCTTTCTTAATTGGAGTGTTAGCCTTTTCTTCTTCAATACCAGCTTCAATTATATGCAGTTCTACAGGCTTTGTACCGCACTCGTTAGCCCTATATCCTGGATTTCCATAGTTGTAGCACAGGTTTTCTTTCTTGCGTTGTTCTCGCTCCTTGTTGGATAGCCCCTTGCGTTGGAACTTGCCTTTTAGTCGTGAGGACCAACCTTGTTCAATAACATCAAGGTCTATCGGATCACCATAAGACTGGTAGTTAGTGCGCTTGCCCTTATAGTACGCGCCACTCGTCTTTTTATGGTATCCTTTCTTCTCCAATCCTAACTTGTATAGCCAGTTGTCAATTTCGATGGCTTTGTTGACCAACCCCTGATATATGTTAGGCCTCTCCGGTCCCAACTCCTTTTTGATGTTGTCCTTTAAGTCAGTGTAGAAGGTAGCGATAAGTATATTGTTGTTCCAGTCCAGTTTGGCCTGAAGCCTCTTAAACAGGGCATAGTACTGCGTAGCTGACCCCTTCTACTTGAGTTGATAGATTCGTTGGGCCGCGGCCTGTTCCTCCTCTGGAGTTCCAAATATTTGCTTAAGTCGTTCCATGAATATCGCGAAGTTGGAGAAAATGGCAATGGTTTCCGGGTCCTTTTATCCTTCGGGGGACATTATATAGTTCATCATGATAGGTTTAAACCAATGAAAGACTAATCCCCTCATGTGAAGTCCCGCGAATAAGACCTTGTCTTTATGGGTAATATACCTGGTGCGGTTCAATTTAAAAGTCGCGATGAGTTGGGTAATGAATAGTCTCAACTTTTCACGAGATCCATAGAACACGTCAACCTTAGTATCGTCCTTGTCGTGATTGCCATAGTTGCCATAGCTGGAGGTGACAGTGAAGGTGGGTCCTGGTGTGGGTGCGCCTGGCGCGGCGAACTGAACCGACCCAGTAGGGGATGGTGAGCGGATAGGAGCTTTGGAGCTGGACATCGTGTCGAATACTTCCAATCAAGTGGTAGTTAAAGTGTTATGTTTCGCTTCACCAGGGGTGTCACTGCACGTATTATTCCTTAATAAGTGGGAAGTATAGGAGGCGAGGTCGCTGAGAACGGAGTACTTAAGCGAGTACTAGAGCGAAGGGATCACAGTCTAAAATGTATGAGTATAATCGTGAACGAAGTTGACTATATAGTAAAGCTATGAAATAACCGTGTATATATAGACTATAGAATTAGTGGCTCCCTTGGGCTCTGTGGGCTCTATAAGCAGAGCCCGCAGAGCCATAAGAGCCATTAGGCTCTGTCCCCTTTATGTTCTCCTGACAGAGCCCACGGTCTTGGCTTGGTCACGTGATCTCGCTTCTCTGACTCACGTGTATCGAAGATAATAACGCCAAGTGGCTGTCATCATAGCTTGGTCTGCGGCCTTATAAAAGGCCTGGTTCGTAATAAATAGGATTTTATAAAGTGCTATAGAATCATGGTGATATAAAATAGTTTCGTTAGTAGATCTATTACGCGGTCGATAGTTATAGTTATTATCGATATAGGGTTAGTTAGTATCTCTATGCGATAAGGGCCAAGATATCGCGAGTATATTAATGGCTAGGGGTGGTGATGCTAATCTTGTTTTATGCGATATATTATAGGTTCGGGTTTAACGAGATTTAGATTACTAAGTATTAAGACGAGTATCTTAATCTCGTGATATATAGTTAGTGGCTTAGATAGCGACACTTTTAACGAATTTAGAGTGAGAATATAAGTAACGATATAGCGATAATACTACGTCTTATTTATTTTGTTTATAATATCGCGAGTAAAGATATATATAGACGAGATAAAATATTTAAGAGTTAGAATAAAGATAATATAGTAAAGTTTATTTAGTCTAGAGATATATATTTATAATGTATTTTTAACTTTAATTATATATATATTTATTTAATATTTATTACTTTAATATTTATTACTTTAATATTCATTACTTTAATATTTATTACTTTAATATTTATTACTTTAATATTTATCACTTTAATATTTATCACTTTAATATTTATTACTTTAATATTTATCACTTTAATATTTATTAAATATATTAGATTTTAATATAAACTTTATAACTAAATTAATAAATTGTTATATTTCGCTCCACCTAGAGTGTCACTGTATATATCGTTCCTTAATAAGTGGAAAGTATAGAAGACAAGGTCACTGAGAATAAAGTACTTAAGCGAGTACTAGAGCGAAGTGATCACAGTCTAAAATATATAGATATAATCGTGAACCAAGTTAACTATATAGTAAAGCTATAAAATGATTATATATATATAGACTGTAGAATTAGTGGCTTCCTTAGGCTCTATAGGCTCTATAAGCAGAGCCCACAGAGCCATAAAAGCTATTAAGCTCTGTCCCCTTTATGTTCTCCTAACAGAGCCCATGATCTTGACTTAATCACGTGATCCCGCTCCCCTGACTTATATATACTGAAGGTAATAACGCTAAGTGGCTATCATCATAGCTTAGTCTATAGCCTTATAAAAGGCCTAGTTTATAACACTTTCCCTCTTCTAGATTTATTTATTGTCCTCAATATATATAAGGTGAGTCTTCCCCTGCGTTTATTATTCTTTCTTTAATCATAGCTCATCATGCCATAGCAATGTTCTTGTAAACATCTCGATTCTTCTATCTCTCGCTGACTAAACACTACCAAACAAATCTATTCTATCAGGGTCAAACAAACAGAAATGGATCGATATTCTCATTATTAAGAGCAAAACTTGGTCTACTACATAATTAAGGGATACACAAAATACAATAATTATACTACGTCGAATGTGCGGTATTGTGATAGTTATTTTTTAGATACCGAGTTCGATAGCCTAAAGCGCCAAAAGAAGACGCTCAAGAAATCCGTCAAAGATTAGCGTGCCGAAGTAGCCCGCCTGGCTATTGTAGCTGTATCCGCCTTTGCTGCGCTGGCCGCGGCACAAGAGAAGGAAATGAAATTGGATGAACAATTAGATAAACTGATCACCCGTTAGTCCGAGATGTTGGTTCAGGAAGCCGAAGCCCTAGATATATTGGGTAATCTGGAGAACACTAATAGCCAAGAGCCATAAATAGCTTTCTCGCTATCTAAGCCCTTCGCCTGAGGTAACTTAATAGTGGATTTCGATTTTGCTAGTCTCGATAATACTGTCGAATCATTTTATACATCTAGGTAAGGTGTTCTTCTAGTTCTTATATATTTTCTGAGTTATTATATCCTAATCACTTTGTTAAATAGAGCTATTATTCTTTCTTAACTTTAACGTCTAGAATAGCTTTCATATCGTACATTAATTATTAGGTTTTCTTATGTATTAGTATCGATTCAGGTTTAGTGTTTAGTGATGCTTTCTCGAGAAGTGATTTATGAAAAACCGAGTAGATATTCATTCCTCTAGGTAATTCCAATTCAAAGTTCACTAATCCAAGTTTTCTTTTGATTTTGTAGGGTTCAATCTTGGTGTGATCTAGTTTGTCAGATAGTCGCTACGTTTTAATGTTTTTTCTGAGAAGATAAACTACCTTCCCTTCTTTAAAGTCTAATTCCTTAGATCTTCGCCTATTTAAGTTTTTAACTATTTTTTGTGATATCTTCTTAAGTTCTTTCTTTAAAAGTTTATGTAGTGATTGTAATTTCTTAACCAAGATTACTACCTTTTCTATAATTAATTTAATGCCCCTAATATTCTTATCTATTCTTAGGTGAAATCTATAGTTTACGTAGAATGATAATATTCCTGTTACTACTGCTTTATTATTAAATACAAATTGCGTTATGGGTAGTAGCTGTATCTAGTCGTTCTGCTGGAAATTAATATAATACTATAAATACTATTCCAGCGTTTAATTTGTTCTTTTTATTTACCTATCGCTCTATGGATAGAAGGTTATTGATAGTTTTTGGTGGACTTCTATAAGGTTTATTAGCGATTACCAAAACTATAATATAAATAGCTTATCTCGGTCCGAGTATATTTCTTTCGGTATCTTATATCGGCTAAAGATATCTTTATATAATGTGTATATCAAGTCTTCCGCTATTAATGACTCCTTGTATGGAATAAATTTCGCGTATTTAGTTAGAATATTATTTACCATAAGTATACTGTTAAATTCCACACCCATGAGGGGTTCTCTAGATTTTGGTAGCTTTATAATGAAATCCAATATAATAGTATACTATGCTTCTCCTAATATTATCGATTTTTAGAGTAATCTATAGGGTTTATGTCTTGTATACTTCGCTTTGTGGTATATATCGTAGTTCTTAATATATTTTGTTATGTCTTTCCTAACCCCTTTCTAGATAAAGTCCCTCGTGACTAACTCAAGCGTTTTCTCAATACCTAGATGTCTTGCTAACTTATTATCGTGTCGTCCCTTGATGATTTCTTCTTTCTGCTCTTCTGTCAGCTCGATATCGATAAGAGCCAGCATCTCTACCTTAGGTGTTGCGTAGATTAAGGCGCTATCCTTTTCCTTGAGTACTACCATAGGCTCTGGTTTGATGTTTTTTATGTAATTTGGCTGTTTATTAAGCGCGTCTACCACAGTATTTTCTTTTCCTTGAATATGATGTATCTTGAAGTTGTATAGTGCCAATATTTCGGCCCACTAAACCTGTTTGCGGTTAAGTTCCTTCATGGTTATTCAGTATAATAGGTTCTTATGATTAGTGTAGATCTAAACTTAATATTTAGCGCCTTTAAGATATACTCTTTATTTCTTGAGACACGCCACGATAGCAAGTAGTTTCTTGTTATGGATATCATAATTTAACTTCGGCCCTGTTATTCTCTTTAAGTAGTACGCGATTATTCAGGTCTTACTATCTAGCCCTTTTTGCGTGAGACAAGCTTTAATCGCTCTGTTCGATACATCTATCTCTACCTAGCATTCTAGCTTAGAGTTAAATATCGCAAGTACTGGCGCTGTCGTGATGGCTTCTTTAAGGCGTTTAAATGTCTTCCTGTATTCTGGTCCAAACTTAAACGGGATATCCTTCTTAGTAAGGTTCGTCAAAGACGCTGCGATCTTCGAAAATCCCTCAATGAATCTTCAGTAATAGTTGAGTAGTCTAATGAAAGACTGTACTTCCGTGACATTCTTAGGTTCTAGCTAATCCTTGATTGACGCTATTTTGTCGGGATCCACTTTAATATCCTTATCGAATATGATGTGGCCTAGAAATTAGATCCGTTTTTTATGAAACTTACATTTGCTAAGTTTCAATGGTAGGTCCTTTTTCTGAAGTTTCCTTAGAATCTTTTAAATATACTGTATATGTTCTTTATATATCTTCAAGAATATAAGTATATTATCTAAGTATATAACTACAAAGTCGTCGAGATATTCTTGTAGCGTGTCGTTGATCAGTTCCTGGAAAGATGCTGAGGTGTTAGTTAATCTGAACGGCATGACACAATACTTATACAACCTAAAGCTGGTTTTAAAAGCCGTCATCCATTTATGGCCTTTCTTTATTCGTACTCGGTAGTAGGTGTCCTATATATCGAGCGCGATGAAGTATTTTGCACCAAGGAGTCTGTCCTATAGCTCCTTGATCAAGGGTAGTGAATACCGATTCTTTCTGGTGATCGCATTGAGTGGTCGGAAATCAATACATGGTCGAAGAGATCCATCCTTTTTTGGGGCGAATAGCACACTGTGTGCTATGAATGACTTGGATAGTCGAATAAAGCCTTTCTTTAAGTGAGTCTCTATGTACTTCTTAAGGAAGCTTTCTTCCTTTAGAGATAGAGATTAAAGCCAACCATTATGCTTTAACACTTTTCCTTCTTCGAGCGTTATTTCATGGTCCCATGGCTTATACTCTGGTAGTGTGGTTATGTTTTCTCTTTCTCTGAAGATATCTACAAAGTCCTTATATTTCTTAGGTAGACTTTTCTCTTGTATTTCGTTTAAGGCCCTAGTAGTCTAGGCATAGACTGTAGCGCCTTTTCGCGGCAGATCGGCGCGCGAAATGGAAATAAACTTTGAGTGTAGCGCCAAATTTGTTCTATAGCGTTATATTTATTGTAGCGCCAAATGTTCTGTGGCTTAGCCTCGTGGTAATGTAATATAGCCTCGCCTCGACCTTTTAAACGATTAACTCTTCCATCCTAGCTGATCCTTTCAAGACTCGACTTCATGGGTACGCGGTTATCTCATCTTCCCTTTGCATCATGATCTCCTCTTCCCAGCTTCGCAGCTATAATCTTACGATAAGCGCTCCTGAAAACGCGTTGATTTGTACGCTATGTCAACGCGCTCTACGTGTTGATCCGAGGTCTGTCTGGTAGCATCTTTCTCAGGTTCACTCGATCGACAGCTCGCGTCGGTCCCAGTTGGAAAACCTCACGACACTCGATCTCACGGATATCTCTCAACTGACGCCTCGAAACGATCTATCCCAAGAGGATACGGCCCTGGCCACGGTTTCTGGATTCGCGTGCGGCCACTGCTTGACCCGGACAACCAGCCAACAGCTTCTAGGGCGACATCTCTCCGCCCACCATCGCATAGGACAGTCTGATGCCACTGATGGTCAGGATTATCGATGTGTCCTCCTATAGCGGTGGGCCATTGCCAGCCCGAGAGCACGGCAATACTGGATCGTCGCTCCCATCAGCAGTGTGGCGCCTTCAATGAATCCATACCCGGTTTCCCCCCTTAGGGTTAGACATCGAACTCGAGAAACATACTTCGTGTCATAGCATCGTCGATAGAGCTTCCAATGGCCAATCGAATGCTGCAACTCTTTTTTCAATATCTCTCGTGTTGCTTCCTCAGTGTGGTATGGAAAATGAGATCTCAAGGGGTGCTTCGACGAGGCATGCCAAGAGCGTTACTGTCTATCAGCATAATAGGTTAGACTGCCAAGAGCGTTACAACCCCTGGCCAGATATAGAAATATCAACAGTGTACTGTTATTCTACATGTACTACATCTATTTTGTGTTACTATTCTTTGGATGACAATGCCTTCAAAGCGTGAACGACCCTTATTTGAGGGTGTAGAAGATCCTGCCTTAGCTCGCCGACGTGCGCTCGGTGCTGCTCGCGTTCAACGACTTCGAGATCGCCGAAGAGCCGCACGCGACGCCCAGACACGACCTACTCAGGCGCAGCTTCAACAGGGCGAGCAAATCATATCACTCGCGATGACGGACGAAGAAGAAGCGGCCGTGACATTATCACAAATGGGTCTCAGAGTCTCCGGACTGACGCTCGCTCAAGATGCACAAGATGCGCAGCTTCAGCAGGGAGCCACCGAGGTGGACGAGCACCAAATGCTGTATGGCCCTTATATATACACCGCAGCTAGGAACCACCATCCCTCTCCAAGTCACCCTACAACCATTGCACCTACAAGCCAACCCTCTCCGCCGTCAACGTCATGTCCGTCGAGTCAATCGCAACTCTCGCAGTTCTTTTCGTCGCGTCCTTCCGATAATCCATTCTCGACCCGCGCCCAACATACCACTGCTCCTCCCCCAGTTCGGCCATCTCCGGTGCGACCCTCCTTCAGCCCGCTCTCGTCAGCTCGAGCATCCCCCTTTCGTCCCTCCTATAGCCCTCTTTCATCTTCAATTCTTGAGAATATGGGTGCCCAGCACCGAGGAAGTGAAGATTTACTTTTTAGAGATAATGATATCAACGATACAGATCACGATGATAATGGTTTCGACGATCAGAATTTTGGCCGGCCCGATGACGCCAATGAAAATGATTTTGATAAGCAGAGCGTTACCCAGCAGGAGAATAATAATGGAAGGAGAGGCGATAGCGCAAATAAGAGCGACGAGGAAGACCCTGTCTCCAATTTTGCATTTGAGCGTTCTGCACTCTCTAGTGACGATGAAGATAATGAACCGCCTCTTTCAGATCTCCAGCACACAGTCGATAAGCTTTTTGCTTTCTTCCAGGGCGATATTGGCGGTTGCACTGAAGATCAGCACCATGAGCGCCATCAACAGCATATGGCTAATGTAGCCGACGATGCCCACCACGCCTTGAATAATATCTTTCGTGACGCCGACTCTGTTTCCGTGCTTGCATCTGCTGACATGCTGACTCCCGACCAACTCCGTCGCTACGTGCTTCCCAGTCCTGAGCAATTACAGTCTACATTTTGTGGTATTTCTCCCCAGCATCCCCGTCCCCAGTATGTTTGTCTGCACCACGAAGAGACTCGAGAACAACCTGTCCAACAAGCGTTCGACGTGGACAGCTATCTTGGGTTTAGGCACTCCCTGGCGGCCTGTCGAGAAGGCCTCTGGCACCAACCGGTCCCCCAAGCGCGACAGAACATAACCAATGACGTCCACCTCGAAACTCGCGTATTTGTCGCGGGTGATGATACTGAGCAGGCCCCCCGGGCCACTCTGGCCATGCTGCGAGATGTTCCTCATTTCCTCCTCGGCCGTGTGGCGAATGCGCATGACATTACTATCCACATCCTGTTTCCCCATCTTCCGCAACCACAAGACAAGTTTATCTCACTGACCCAAGACCAACTCTCGCGATGGCTCAACCAAGTCTTTTACCCGGCGGTGTACCGTCAGTGTGCCGCTCACGTCACCCAGCACCTCCCCGCCAGCTTTCTCCAGGCCTTTTCCAATTCGAAAGCTCGACAGGTGGAAGGGCGCAAGATCGAGACGGCCAGCTACCAGGCCCAGCAATCCCTCGGCTACCATCTTCAAGCGGAATATCTGGAACCGATTTGGGCCGACATCCTTCGTACAATCGACACCACACCCGGCCTGGCGAACTTTCGAGAGCCCCAGCTTCTCTTCTCGGCCAAAGGAAGCAAGCTCCAATTTAAGACCAACCCTTCTCGGCCGACGCTCCTGGATGCGATGGTGCACTTCGATTCGTACCTGGACAATGTCTTTGACGGAGACTTTGTCGATTGGCGACGGACATTCATCGACCTAGCCACTGAAGTTTGTCCCGCCGCCAGTCGTCTCGCGTCCGACAGACTCCACGTCGACGAAGAGGCCCAGGTGCTATCGTGGAAGCGCTGTTGTCTCGAACGTATCATTCAGCAACTGTATGGCGACCAGACCCCCGCGAAAAATGGTCGAGGACAGCGATACTTTGACCAGAATATGTTGCACGAAGTCGCCACGATGACCAGTGTGCCGCCGAAGCACACTCGACTCTATGGTGGTGGTATCCGATACCTCCAGCTCTATGGATCCGTGAAGGAAGTCTGGGACGCGGCCAAGTGTAAGCCGTTTGACAACGACGGACTGGAGGAGATGGCCTTGGATTCCCAAATCCGACAGGCGGCCCACCACTTGGCCGGAGGCCATCGTCGCGACATCCGAGTCCTCGAGCGGGCGTACTGCGCCAGTAAACGCCGGTCACACCGGGCCCTTCGCGACTCCCGCCACAAGTCCTTTGGTATTCGCGCCGAGTTCCGAATTTCCTGGGACTTGTTTTGTGCCCTCATGGAACGACTCCGCATGACGCCGCGCGACGAGTTGGAAGTCACCTTAGCCGACCGTCCGTCGTACACTTGGGCAGTCCCGACCGAGGCTTACCTCGGCTTTCTCTGGCGTAGTGCTAACAAGTTTGCCAGCCTCTTCGAGATTATTCGCGCCCGGTGTCGACAAGATCTGGTTACCTGGGAGCAAACGAAGATGATGGCCATGGCGCTACGTTGCCTGCGGTTTGTGCTCGGTGGACATCAGCTGTCTCGGGAATCCGCTCTGTGGTGGAGCCGACGTGAGCGTGAGGTCGGGAATCCTCCTCGGCCACGAATCTGGTACGGCTTGGGATTCTGCAACACGCTCGCCCGTTACGGATACTGCTGGCTCGAACCACGTATCGACTAGGAGCGGTTGGTGTTCCAGCCCGAGGTGACGGATCGAATGCTTTTTGGCAACAGCATGCTGCGTGGGCAGTATCTCCGTCGCGGCGGCCAAGTCGAAGATTTTTTCCACACCACGCGGCGGCTGGAACTGGCGCTGGCGTGGCTCCAGCAACACCATTCACATGAAGCGATCCGCGACCGGCTTATCTTTTGGATGGTTCACATCTGTCTGCAGCAATTTCGCGTGGACGTCCTTCGCAGCATCCAGTCCGATATCCAACCTGAGTGTCGGGAGGATGCCTTGAGAGGACTCGATCCGTTTTGCTTCGAATACTTTCAAGACATCCTGACGGACGACGTGTATCTCATCTCGGGCAACCGATGCGACTTCAAGCAAGTCACCCACTTGGGGCACTTCCTGTTCGATTTTGAAGATGGGCGTATTCGAGCACATTGGGAAAATCGACCGTTCCGCAAGCTCTATCGACGAGCACGCACGGCGTTGAGTCTTCTCCCTGACGAGCGACAAGTCGAACAGACTTTCAGCCGTCGATTTTGGCGGTCGCTTTACGCATATCATTGGGTCTTGCCCTATCCCTGTGCCGAGGTGTTCACACAGACGACGAAGCAAGGACAACGAATGATGTATTCCATCGAATTGACGGAGGTGACCGGGCGAGTCGAATGGGCCGAACCCGACCAATGGAGGTGGGAACGGAAGTCTTGGCGGCCAGGCCATCCTTCTCGTCTCCCGCAGTATCTTTCATGGGATCGAGAAAAGTGGGAGGATTGGATCGAGCGACACATGGAGTAGGTTAGGTGGCAGCTAACCATGAATGATTAGGCGATACAGTACACCTTTGAACTAGAAGAGGTTCTCTTAATTCGCTTGATTCGCTTAAGGGAGTATGATTCGACGGTAGCTCTACTCAGGCGAGGGTCCTAGACAGATTTCAAGAGTGGATTGATCAGCGGAGAAGTTTCTCAAAGGCTTAGTTCTTATTTCATTATGGCCGTCTAGCACTCTTGCACTTGCGTAGCCTTTTGTTGTACTTATCTTCGCACTATATCATTAATGTTCAGATCGACTACTTGTAAGGAAGGAGCACGACACCATAGAGTTCCGACAGTTCAACGATCTTCTGAAGAGTACTTCACTTCATGACCGAAATAGGTTTCACAGTGATTCTCATGTCGACAGCACGAGATACAGTTTCTTTAGAGCCTTAACAGTCACAATAACCACACCACCGCAATTATCCCCACCACGTGACCCGGGGTCATGGAGGCCAGAATATGGTCTGGCTCGCTAGACCGACGTGCCTAGATTTGCAGATAGATCACTACCCTCCCTGGGCGTCAGGCAGCGAAAAGCCAGCAAAGGCTATAAATGACGAGGGTGTGTGCGAGAGTGTCGAGGTTGACTCTTATGACGACGAGCTTATTAACGAGGTTAGGTCTAACGAGATAGCAGGTGTTAACACGTGATTAATTATCACGCTAAGACCCACGCTAAAATCAGGAGTCAAGAAACATCTATTTTCACCACGCAGCTTCTCTAGATAGCCCATTCCACAGAGATCGTAAACTCCTTTGTATCTCTCGCGTTCTGTTGCGCAAGCTTCCTTTACATTACTAACCCTAACCCTAAGGTTGCGATTGTTCGTTTAAACAATGTTGGCACACACTGTACCACGCCGTTCTGGACGACACGCGGGTCCTCCACAGCCACTTCCTACACTTGCCTCTGAGCGTGGCTATATAGGTGATGAATCCAGTTTGACCGCTCCTCCGGATCGACCGCCGACAAAGAAGAGAAAGCTTGCGTGGTCACTAACCTCGCCGCCCATCAATAAGCCACCTAATGACAGAAATACTCTCACAGTGAAACATTCTCCAGTAGATTGGAGCAGCTTGGAGCAGAAAGTTATTCAGCGTATCCTTACCTATATGTGTCGCACTCCCAAAGGGTCCAAGACGGTTCGACTTATCAACAAGGCTGCTCGTGATTTGGCCACACCTTTTCTCTTCTCCCGCGTTCACTTGAGCCCCAGTATGAATAGCATGCGTCGACTATCAAATATTGGCCAACATCCCGAGCTCGTCGATTGTGTCGAAATCCTTGAATGCCACAATTGGGGTCTCGCTGAATACTACACGGACGACAGCCTCTTCCGTGAATCTTTGGCGCGACATTTTGCGTCGATCTCGACCGTTACAAGTCCCCATGAACTGCCACAGTTAGAGTATCAGCAACTATGGTCCCGGCTGTACTCATCATATTTAGGCGAAGTCGCAGCCCAGCGGGAACTGCAAAGGGCCGGTGTCAGTGCGACACTCTCTACGACCATTCTCCCATTTACTCGACTACGCGGCATTGTTTGGCATGAATGCCAAGGTCGGCGCCGCGACAGCATTAACTTGTCGGAACAGAGCCCGTTGTTTCACCGTACCGGCGTCAAGGCTTTGGGCATGGAGTCTTGTCTTGGGTTTCTGCGTACATGTCTCGGCACTCAATCTGTTCAACCCACGAGCTTCGCCGCCACGGGACTCAACTGGCTCGAGCTGGAGTCGCACCAGAATCAGCTATGGGCGCTCGGTTCCATCCTCCGCTCTGTGGAAAATCTCCGCCTTCAGTTCGTGACGGCGTACCTATTGGACGCGAAGCTTGATGACGACATACTGAATCACATGGCCTACACTCTGGGACAGGCACGGCTCGTTCAGGAACTCC